GATGAAATCGTAATGAAATTAGATATTAAGAAATTGCAAAAGTATGGTTTTGCACCCACTCGTGACCATGTACGAACTGTGGCGTTTGAGTTAGCAGAAAAATTTAATGTAAGCCACAAATTTAATAGAAACAACAATAAAGCTGGTTTTGACTGGTTGCAGTCTTTTTTACGGCGCACTCCAGACATATCAGTGCGAAAAGGTGAAGGAGTTTCTTGGACAGGACAAAAGGCTTAAACCACGAGGTAGTTAAACAGTACTTCGATCTGCTGCTAAGTATTTTAACCAATAGTCAACTAATAAATAAGCCGGGGCATATTTTCAACGTAGACGAGACAGGTTTGCAGTTAAATAACAGGCCTGGACATGTACTCGCGTCTAAAGGATCCAAAAATGTCCCTGTTATTACATCAGGAGAGAAAGGAGAAACAATTTCTGTGATAAGCTGCTGCAATGTTGAGGGCGTATTTTTACCTGCGTATTCTATTTTTAAAGAAAAAATAGAAAAGAAGAATACGCGGATGGAATGCCACCTGAAGCAATGTTTGTGATGTCCGAAAAATCGGCCTACGTAAACGCAGATATTTTTTTATATTGGCTAAAAAATCTATTTATTCCTCGAAAGCCTCAAGGCAAAGTTTTGCTGATATTAGATGGACATACATCCCATACAGCAGCAGTGGAAGTATTAGAATGCGCCGAAAACAACGAAATTATAATGTTATGCTTACCCAGTCATACCACGCATTTTCTGCAGCCGTTGGACCGAGCTTTTTTTCAAATCTTTAAAGGCTAATTTTTCCTCGAGATGCCAAAACTATATCAAAAATAACCCAACAAGAAAAATTACACGTTACCAGTTTGGTGAGTTGCTAGGAAATGCGTGGAAAATCTCAGCAACGTTGAAAAATGGAACATCTGGATTTGTTGTCACAGGAATTGTACCGTTTGATCCCGATAAAATTCCAGAGCACGCTTTTTTGTCCACAAATGAGAGCTCCTCAGCTATAGTAGAAGAACAAAATAATACAGAAATAGATCTAAATATTTTAGATTAACCAGGTCCTTCACTTGCAGGCATTACTCTTTACTCTAGTCGTTGATGAAGAAACTGCAGCTCGTATGTCTAATGTTGAAGACTCAAGTGTAACACCTGGAAAAGTATTGGACACGTTATCGCCTGTACCCAAAATTGATGCTGCAAAAAAGAATGTAAGGGGTAGAGCAAGAAGAGTGGCGGAAATTCTTAATTCTGCAGACAAAATTCAAGAAAAGAAGATAAAGAAACAAGAATCAAAAAAGAAGACAGTTCCAAAGCAGCAAAACAAAAGGCGTCAATATAAAAAGTATGAGTTAGATTCGTCTGATGATGAGATGAATGCAGACGTGCCAGTTTTAGATGACAGCGAAGACGAAGACGAATTTAATGAAAAGGTTGTGGTGAAGATTACAGCAAAACATCCAGAAAAGATAACTGGGTTCAATGTTTGATTTGCAAACACTGGTGCCATGACAATTGTACAAAATTTGAAAATGTTTGTGATTTATGTGGAAAAATTGCTAGTAAAAAGAAATAGGTTAACATTATTATTTTATGTGTTTCAAATTAGCTAAACTCCACCAATAGGAATGGCCCATCTGTACCTACGTATTGGTATAAGTAGATGGGTGAATAAGAAGCATTTATGTTAATTTCTATAAATTTTATATTCCTCAAGTTACATGTTTTTTATTTTGCATAATAAATATATAAACTATAATAAGTATTCTTTTTCAAAAATCGTATCATACACTAGTTAATTTTTCAAGTAATCAAAGTGAGAAAAAAAGTGGCCCGTCTTTTCCAGACTTACCCTATATTTTGTTTTTCAAGAAAAAAATGTAGCTGACTATTTAAAAACCAGTATGTTCTATGGATTAACTACCGTATAAACTAGGAAGTTGGTATTTCAATACGCTAAGGTTAATAATGTATCATCTGCTATTTGGAACGAACGTAAAAAGACCACTAAGGATTGGTTACGTGGTTTTCTGAAACGGAATCCTATTCTTTGTATCAGAAAGCCCGAGAATACTTCTTTATTACGAACTAGATTTTTTTTTAAATCTGAAAATGTAGCTAGGTTATATGAGAATTTAGAAATGGTCTTAAAAAGATTTACTTTTGAGCAACACATGATATGAAACATTTCATATTTGGAGCCCTGTGGTCTGAGGTGAATAATTTCATATCGTAATAAACCAAGCTTTATTACGATATGAAATACCTCGAACAAAACTTGGACTACATTGTCGCAGCCAAAATTCAGTTAAACGACTTGGAAGAAAAAGTGTTTTTAAGTTTTGAACAAGAAAGAGGTCTAGTTCGCAGAATTCATAAACTAGGAGAGGTGGGCATGCCAATAACTAGTAACATAGTAAGAAGAAGTGTATTTTCGTATGCGATGATAATGAACATTCCTAATCCTTTTTCTGATACTTTTAAATTAGCAGGAAGGAAATGGCTGAAATTATTCATTGCAAGAAATCTCGATGTGACTAGAAGGAAGGCTCAGCAAATGAATCCAGTAAGAGCACAGAAAATGAATCCATTTATTTTAAAGGATTATTTTAAAAAGAAACTTCCTCCAAGAAATTGGAGGAAGTATTCATTAAATTGGAATTGTTTAATAAACCTGGAAACGTGTACAATATGGACGAGAAAGGTTGTCGTCTAACGATCCATAAACAGCAAACCGTATTGGCCAAGAAAGGTGCTAAACGTATCCACTTGACAGATCCTGAACACGGTGACAATGTTAGTATTATGGGTTGTGGAAATGCCCTGGGGAAAGCCATCCCACCGTTCATTCTTTTCAAAGCAGAGATTGAAGCCTGAATGGTATGGTCATCTACCACCAGGATCAACTGTAATAATGACACAGAAAGGAAGCATGATAAATGAGGCGTTTGTTTCATGGATAGGACATTTTGCAAAGTATAAGAATAAAGGACCCACACTCCTGATACTTGATGGTGCAAAATCGCATCTGGACATAAGTATTGTTGAAGCTGCAGAAAATTATGGTGTTACTTAATTTTGTCTTCCAAATAACACCCAGCATGAACTGCAGCCTATGCATAAAGCAGTCTTCAAAAGTTATGAGTCTTTTTGGGATCAGGAGGTTTGAAATTTTTTGATAACTCAACCTGGGAAAAATATAACCAAAATGCGATTTGATGAAATATTTAGTAAAGTTTGGTTAAAAGCGATGACACCAGCTTACATCATCTCTGGGTTCAAAGCAACTGGAATATTTCCTTTTAACCCAGACATCATACCTGAATCAGCAATCATACCAGTCTTATAACGCATATTGGAGAAAATGTGTTAGAACCACTAGACGTCGCCGATAACAACGTAAATAAGCCATTACTACAGTTGATGAAAATGGTCCCTGCACAAGTGGAATAAGTAATAAAAAAATCAACAAAACGTTTTCGTTTATATAGCGAGTTGTCTTATTCTGAATCAGATTTCAGTGTTCATGATAGGTCATCTGATGATATAAACAGCGAAGATGAAAATATGGTACCATTCATTCCCGAAAAAGTTCCAGAACCAGACACTTCTTTTAAAGGTTTGGCCTTACTAATTTCGCCCCTAATCAAGATAACTGCTACAAGGCGAAAACCAGCAATTAATAACAAAGCTCAAGAAGTTATGAAGGATTTACTTTCCACAGTAATAGAAAAACCTCCCAAAGGTAAAAGTAACAAAGAACGTTCCAAACAACAAGAAAAATCAAAAGACAAAAACAAAGAACAGGAAGAAAAGAAAATAAACAAACATCAAAAAGACCAAGACAATCTAAACAAAGAAAATAAAATAAACAAGAATTTAAAAAGTAGGAATCATGGTTGTGTCATGTATGTAAGAACGAAGACCGCCAGGCTGATATGAGATTATGTCTTGCATGTGGCCAATACGTACATGAAGAGTGTGGGCCTTACTAAACATGATTAGGATAAATTCATATGCCCAATTGTTCTCAAAAATAGTAAATGCCTCACATTAGCCTTTCACGTTAAGGTTCAATATTATTACTTATTTTTATTAACAAAATACCTGTTCCTTTTATTGCCAGTACTGTGCCAATATTAAGGGTATAGGTTCCAAATATTGGCAGTTGGCAATTGTTTAGAAATTAGACTATAAACATGTTTGTTACTTGTTTATTAAATTTACAGGTTATTTCAAATAAATTTGTATTTAATAAAAAATAATAAAAGTCTTAGCATGGCAATATTTATCTCACTTACCTTATAATTATTATTTGCTATTATTAAGCATGTAATTTTGTGGGCATTGTCAGGTTTGTAAATATATCATAACGCGTATTGCCTTAATATTTTTATTTTTTACCCTATAATGTTTAAATAATGGTACTAGGACAATAAAAGTTATTTTCAAAAATAACTAACCTATTTTTTAACAAATAAAGCAAATGTGTTGGCCGTCTATTATCGACCAATTTCACTTCAATATTCTTTTTAAAAGAACAAAAATACAAACATAAAACTCTATAGATACTTTACAGATACATTTAAAACTTGATAGCCAACAATACAACAGATCAAAAAGATTATTCCAATAATATCCTCTTAGCTTTCATAGGCCGAGAGTCTACTTCCTACATGAAAACCCCTGTTACACAAAAACGGGTTCGAACCCATCCTCCCCATTGGATATAACTGCTAAGCTACGCCCATACAGGCGGCGACTCCGCGTGTCAGCCTCTCTTTCGAAAAAGACCAGTTAGTGATACTCCGGCAGTTGCCTAGTGAGGTGTTGATAGTTGTATAGTGAATTTGATTGACATTTTCTCGTAAACCGTCTTTGTGATATTAGCCAAATGAATATGCACTCGATGAATGATCCCGCATCTGTCTTATCAGGCATGATGTCGTTCGACTCTATCAGTTTGTATGAGCAACCTAAACCTAGGTTTATCTTCAAAATGCCACGGGTAGTGCCAGATCAAAAAGCGAAATTTGAGTCTGATGAATTGTTTAGAAGATTGAGCAGGGAAAGTGAAGTAAGTCTTTTTTTATTAAATCTATCAAGTACTTAACAAATTTTAATGTCGACAAAAAATATCAATTTTCGAAATTCTTATAGTAAATGAGTTCTGTAAATATCACGTAGAGGTCTAGTCAGCTGTTTGCTATATCTGAAAACATTTTTTACAATCTATTTTTTATATAGGTAATGCTGTAAATTTCAATTCATATTTAGCACCTATCTATCAGTCTAGATTTTTTGGAACATTAACCAGAAATGAAAAATACGTAATACCCTATTTGTCCTTTGTTTTATTATAACTACACGGCCGTTGTATTTTTAATTTGTAAAAGTTATCGTTTTTGATTTCGCTTGTTAAAATTGCATTTTCTTCTGAACCAAGGGCAGAGTTTCACCATTGTTTACTTGCCATCAGACCTTTATTGTTTTTGGCAATGTAGCATTAGTGAAATATTCGCCATTAGGTTTCCGTGATAGTGATCATAACTGATTGGTGTCAATAGAACCGCTTGCTTCGCTGTATTAACTAATAAACCGTTGTTTGGAATCTTTCAGATTTTTCAAAAGTTTAATAATTGTAATTATCTAATCTAATATCAAATCAATGACAGTTTTAATTGTTATTATTGCATTTGAGTAAAACAAAATGTTTAAGCATACACATAAACAGGAAAATATTTATTAGCGTATGGAAAACATGAAATAGTTTGTTGAATCCAGGCATCAAAGTCGCATGACCGAGTCCTATATTTTTAAATTAAGTCGTAGTGGATGAAATTATAGAAATTGTTTTCTTGCACTCCTCATCATATTTCGAATGCAGTTCGACAATGTGAATGTTCCTAGTTTTTTAAAAAGACTTTAAGAAATTAGAATATACCTTTTAATTTGATCAACTACCTTAACCACGTCAGATTCGCTGATGATATTATTTTAATAGCCAGTAAGCTAATAAATTAAATGAAATACTGTAACAGTTAAAGCACAAGGCATCTTTAGAGTACTGAAAAGAATTACAGGAAATACGCTGACAGATCGAAAGAGAAGTGAATACATTAGAAGAAAATGTAACGTACAGTGTATAAATGAATGTACACAAAATAGAAATAAGAATGGAATAACCACATAAGAGACCCGTGTCGTCACTTAGAGATAAGTCAAGAGATAAGTCACCAATCGGCAGAAGATGTATCGGACGGCCGTGCAAAATATGGAGTGACAACCTTCCATAGAGGTATTAATCCGCCAATGAACAAGCAGAATTGCCTATAAACAGGAAGAAGAAGAACAAGTAACTAGGAATCAATTAGAATACTTTTTAATTCATTTTCTCCTTCTTCCATATCTTCTACATCACTATCATTCAATTCAATAATCCATTTAGTTTCACCATGAACATGGAAGTGTCCAATCTTTTTATAGTATTCTTAAAGTTTGATCATTTTGTCGATTCTTTTTAGTCAGTCTTCTTTGCTAATATTAGATACTTCTTTTTTAATTACTTTAATTATTACCCTCATCAAATTTAAGAAATGTATTTGCCTCCTTATACTTCGTTTTAAGTATCCCCAAATTAACTCTTTCTAGATTCTAAATTTCTTTTTCAGGGATTATATTCACACCGGCACTGACACTTTCTACAAAATCAGTGTTATCGTAAGCATTTTTTTAACCACATTGTCCCACGGACGCCACTCACTAAGTATTCAAAATAATTAAATTTCAGCAAATAACACCCTATACTCACTAATCGAACTGCTTCCCAACTAAAACACACATGCACAGGATAAGATGGGATCCAATTTGGCCGTATTTAAAGCGTTCTATAATATAAATATATTATTACGACTGTATCAATCAATCTGGAGCATCAAACGAGAAAAATAAAATCATTAACGCTTGTACAATTTTATCAATGTGTCGAATCTTGTACTTAAATTTTTTACATGCCATCTAAAGTTATGAAGATCGGCAATAAAAAAGTCGTGGATATCTGTAATTGTCTCCACACCGTAAGAAAATTCCATTACGTATTTTTAAGTAAACAAAATGTTTCATTATTGTAGTCACATTAAATAAAATTATAATCACTTTTTTTGTGATTTTCCCAGATGTTCATGACGGTTCCTTGTACGTGCAATTTCCAACACATATTTCCCGTACCGGTTGTTACAAGCTTTTCCAATGGTATTATAAATTTAATGATCACGTACCTATTCAATTATTTTAATATACGTTAGTCAATATATTTAAATCTGTATAACTAAAAATCCCCGTTTTATTTTATTCTCGACTTTTTATGACTGTTAGTAAACTGTAGAATTACTGATTTTAAGTTAAATAAAATAGTTGCTTCTGGTGGTTACAGATGTATAGTCTTTCTGAAAGTAATTAAAAACATGCCTACAACAAAAGTCTTGTTTAATCAACCGACATACAACTGCTTACTTCAGAAATTTTATATTCAAATTTAATTCAAATAATTAAATGAGCAGTCAAAGGGTGTTTATAAGCTTCTTCTTCGTCCATTTGGTGACTTAACTCGTGCTATTCGTACGTCTTATCCTCTGCCATTCTACTAATGTGTTCGTTCCACTCCTGTTTCTGTTTTGTCACCCATCCATTTATGTCTTCTATATTGCATGCCCTTATGCTTCTTATATTTTCGAAAGTGTGTGTTAATCTTGGAGCTCGTCTTCTGCCTCAGCGATTAATGCGGCGTCGTCTGCATAACATACTATTTGGATTTCTTTGTTCCTCATTCTGTAACCATGACATTTACGTACTGTTTCTATTATTTCGTCCATTATTATATTAAAGAGAAGTGGGCTGAACGAGTCAACTTGTCTTGACTCTGCTTTGTACTGGTATACACTGTGTTAGTTTTCCATTTATATTTGCCTGTATTCGAATATGGAAAGAGATGTTTTCGGTGGTTTGTATAATATTGATTGATATGTTTCTTTTACAGTAGGTGTAAGTCGTCTTCGACTTGGATGCGATCGAAAGCATTTGTCAGGTCTATAAAACATAGATATGCTGGTATATTGTACTCAATGGTCTTTTCTGTGATTTGTCTTAGTACAAATACGGCGTCTACACAGGATCTTCCGAATCTGAATCCTTGTTGTTTATCTGATAAAGTTGTTAGTTTATTGATTTGTTGGTTAGGACTTATGAGTATTTTTATAGATTGACTAATCAATGGTATAATATATATATATAATATATAAGTACATATATATATATATATATATATATATAATATATATATATATATATATATATATATATATATAAATATATATATATATATATATATGTGTATAAGTACTCACGTCTTAACGTCCCCGTCGTGAAGATTTCTTTTGAATATTTCGAAGAAAAAAAAGTTTCTAGTTTCTAAACGTGTTTCCACAACATAACAAACAACAATCCGGCTTAAATTTTAAAATTTGTGTGATAACTACATATGTAGTTATTTTCCTAACAATGGACACAACAAAAATCACACGCAGTAGCAGTAATCAATATAATAAATAGAAAATAAAAAGAGATATTCAGAATTTAGTCATTGTAATTTTACTATAAGAGCGAAAACTAGAAGCCTTATCAACATTTTGTAAAGCTTAGATTGCAATCACTCACATGATCTCCTTGACTTGTTTTCCTTAGTTACAGAAAACTTTCGAGACCCTAATTTTTGTCTTTCTCATAATATTTATTATTTGGTGTTCACCAAATTTAAGAAAAACCGTTACTGTAGTTTTTTTTCCTTATTGGAATTTTATTATATAGTTGAGTCACAGTCGTAACATTTGAAATATTAATTTTTTGATGTGCTTTTAATCGGCAGTTGAGATCTAGTCGCTTCTCATGCGAAATCTGATTTCAAGGAAATAAAAGCTGGCTAGGATTACGCGTAAGCGGTGACTAATCTCTGATGTTGGTTTTGTTCACCGTGTCGACCGGATATACTTGACATATTTTTCAGCTTATTCTTCAAATTAAGTATTGCATATGTTAACAACTAAGTGGAAATAATAAAAATGTTTGTTTGTGCATAGTAATAAGTGAATTGAATATACAAATTCGCAGCGGCGGGTAGTTCGATAGAAAAAAGGATATTTTTGTACCAAAAATCACAATTAAGTACGGTTTAGCACATTGAATAATAGTTTTTAAAATTAGTATTGATTATCATATTATAGATTATATTATCAAAAAATCGGATTATGTAAAACCTAGATAATATTTATTTTATTTTTGTAGCAAAACTGCTATTCCCAATTCTTTTATGGGTTCTTTGTTTTCGATAACAGAAAATGTTTAACCTATGTAAACTTCTATTATTTTTATAAATATTTTGGCAATATGGATTACACAAATCCCACAAAAGCTCTCCTCATTCAATTTTATTTAAGTTTTCAATTCTTACTTTTTTTAGAGTTTTCCAAATTATTACGTTTTCTTAATATTTGACCAAAAGTCTGTTGCGGTTTTAGAAAAACTGTTTTACAGAGACTTATATTCTATGCGACTTACATATTCTGTGCATATGACTAGCAACCAGTAATAGAAAAGTACTTATCTAACACAATGTTTTTTACGTATACTGCTGCTCGTTACAGTCACTTCTTCAATTTGATTTAACCTAGTCAGAGAGACTTGCACACCCTTTAGAATGACATTCGGGTATTACAATCCATTGAAGCGATATGTATTGATTCCTGTTATCAGGAACCATCCCACCGTGTTCCATTGCTCCAGACTATCTATTTCCCCCCTATAGCATTCCTAGTATCCTAACCCGATCAATGCAGGCTAGCGAGGGCCGCTCTTTTTCTGCTTTGTCTAGTGACTTATCATCGAACTGAAATTGCTTGCTCAGGCCTCAAGCTCCGTTCTCGGCTGCACCCAGTTCGGCGACTCGGTGTCCGAGGATGTGAGGCCTTCTTGCCCAGGTTTTGGGGTTTTGTTCATTTTTTTGGATGAGTGTCGCCTTTGTGTTATTATTTTTTAATTTTGTTGGTCGCCGATGCCTTTATTATTATTTTTTTTTGAAGGTTGTGCTGCAAATAAACATTAATCATTAAAATTGCCCGTGTTGCGTGCTTCTTCTGTTGGTAGAGCTACGAATTATTTAGACTTTGTGTGTTTGCCAGGATTGAATGTTTTGGTTAGTTGTGCTTTCATGGATGGAACGCATCATATCTTATCTCTCGCAGGATCGGGCTTGGGCGACTCTCTATTTCTGCAAACTTAATTCTGGACTTTTCTGCCATTTTATCTATCACCATTTCTTGTTGCAGTTCTCTTAACAGAAAGCGTTTAGCGACGTATCTGGGTACATTTGCCTTTTCTCTGAGGATGTTTTGTGGGCTGCTTGTATTTTCTTCTTATTTGAATTGCTTATGTGTCCCTATGCGAGAGGTGTATATGTAATTATTGGAAGTATGATGCTTTTTCTTTCTCTTTGTCAACCTTTTCATCCTGTGCTGAATGTAGGTCTCTCCCAATTGTTTCCATCTTTCTTTATCTTGCGCCAATCTAATCCACTGTTTGCCTGCCACTGCTCTTATGTCATCTACCCATCTTTTTCGAGGTCTTCCCATGCTTCTTGTTGTCGTCCTTGGTCTCCATTCTAGAATTCTCCGTGTCCACCTGTTGTCATTATATCGGGCTACGTGACCTGCCCAGCGCCATTTCATTTTTGTAATTTCTTCCACAATATCTCTAATCTTCGTTCTACGTCTTATCTCGGTGTTTCTAATCTTGTCTCTCAGTGATATTCCAAGCATGATTCGTTCCATTGCTCTTTGCATTGTTTCTAATTTTTAGCAGATTTTTTGGTAAGGGCTACTGTCTCCAAGCCTTAGGTACAAACTGGTAGTATGCATGTGTTATACACATTTTTCGTTAAGTTTACAGGAATGGAGGTGTTTTTCAAGATATATGCTAGTTTGCCGAAAGCGAACCATGCCAGTTGTGTTCTTCTTTTAATTTCAGCATCTTGATTTGGTTTTCCTAGTTTGATGACCTAGATATACATAATGTTCAACATTTTCTATGGTATGATTTTGTATTGATATATTTGTCTGGTCTCGGCTCAGTATTTTTGTTTTGCGCCTACCGCTCCTGAAACTGCATTTAATTGTTGTAACATATCATTTAGTTCTTGGATATTAGCGGCTATTATAACTATGTCATCTGCGAATCTCAAGTGGTTTAAGTATGATCCGTCGACCTTGACACCGTTGCTGTTCCATTCTAGTTTCTTAAAAATGTCTTCTAGAGCAAGTCTGTTGCAAAGTCCGTTGTAGTCTTATGGGATTAGGTTTTGTGCTTTCGTCCAGCATTTTTATATATGTTTTTAATTATGTTAGTGTATCTTGAATCTATACGTGCATTTTCTAGATTCAAGCACTGCCCATAAGTCGATGGAATCAAATGCTTTATGGAAACCGACGAACGCCATATGAATTGAAACGTTATAGGTACTCGGTGCATTTTTCTATCAGTGTTCTTACGGTGTGCAAGTGGTCTATGGTACTTTTCGGAATCCAGTCTGCTTGATAGGTTGATAGAAATCGAGCTTATGTGTTAGGCGGTTGGTTATGATTTGTTAGTAATTTATACAGATGTGATAGCAAGGATATTGGTCGGTAATTCTCGATGTTTGCTGTATCTTCTTTCTTGAATAGTAATATGACTTCGGAGTTGTACCATTTTTGAGGAATCTTTCGTTCAATTACTTTATTAAATAAAATATTTAATACCTGTTCCATTGTATTTCTTCTGAGCCGGTGTTAATTATTGTTCTTTCAGTAAGTCGTTGTTGTGGTTGTGTATTTACCGAGTATAATTTAGTGTATAATTTTTCAATGGCCTCGCTTATTTCCTTTCTGTCTCGGACGGTGACGTTTTTTTAATTTTTAATTTCTATTATTTTTGTTATGCCGCTTGTTTTTTGCTTTCAGTACTTTCATATTACAGCTACCTTGTATTATGTATGCTGTTTATCAGTCTCATTTTCGTCTTTATGCGCAGATTGCTTTTTCTACCTGCGACTCCTCTTATTGCTGCTATGGCTGTTGCTGTTTTCTGGATGGTTGTGTCCACGCGTTGCGTGAATGTTACGCCTTGCTACATAATGACTCCTAGGTATTTCGGTTCTCTTTTCCATTCGATGAGATTATCTTGCACTAACAGCTGTGGGGTTCTTTTTTCTTTTTGAATATAAGAGTTTGTGTCGTCTCTGAATTTAGGTATTGCTATTTTCCGTTGGATACATCATTATTCAATGATATCCAATGCTGCCCGTAGATTGTTGACAGCTACTTCTAAGTTTCTGTGTTTGGGCGCAATCGCTGTGCACTTCAGGAAAAAGTTTTCTATTTGATTGATATCATCTTCTTGAACATACAAAATTTAATCGGAGGACATACCTTGATAAAGATCTAGAATTAACTTGATTTTTCTTTTTAAACGTTGCGATATTTCTTGTCTCTTCTATTCTTATCTTATATTTATCTATTATACTAATTCTAGGGTGTTATGTTTGTTGGTGCATCTAAGCATATTCGTCACAATATTATTTCTTGGTTTATTGTAATATCTATTCTCATTCCCTCTGAAATCATGAATTAATATTATTAAATGTTTATTTTTTTAAGGTCCGGTATACCGGTTACAGAGATCGACCGCAGGAAGAACGCATGGTCCGTTTTCAAAATGCCTGCAGAGAAGGCCACACGGAAATAGCTTTTGCTGCTACCGGTACCAATCTGCAACTGGTTTTCGCACCACCCACATCGGGATATATGCCAGATAAGGAATGCGACTTTGACAAGGAACCAGGAAAGGTAAGTTTTCGTTATATTTATCAATGCCGCGCTTAAATGCTGAAAGTAATACGCATCAATTTCATTAATTCTCTTTATATTGTGTCTGATTTTTGGAGTTTACCTATATTTCATCTAATATACTTGTTTCTCTTTACTATATTTAACAATAGCTTCTTTAGAATATCTTAGACACTCTAAATAATTTGTTATTATTTTTTTAATACAAAAATATGGTCAATTTGAATTTTTTCCTTCTTGTTATTTCGGTTCCATGCATATAATTTTATTATTATGTATGTGTTTGTTTTTATATCTGGTACTTTTACGTCCTTATTTCTCAAATTATTGCACAGTTGGTGGTCACCAACAATATTTTATGTTTTGTTCATATTTTTGGAAAAAATGGGGCATCAAGCACTTAATGACTATGAGGTTTTTATACGATCTAGAGATAGAGATATACGATCTATACCAAGCTTTTTTAGTTTTGCATCAATCGGTATTTAACATTGTGAATTAAATGTACAAAATATTAAAGTTGACTTTTCTTGGGATAACTTCTGTTTAATATAAAAGTAACTTTCAGAACTTTCTTTGTTTTCAAAAAAGAGTAAAATACATTAACACCCTGTATATATCTTGTATAAAGAGACGATTAAAATAAACAGAATTGTTAAGTCTAACCGCTGATTATTTTCATCCGACTATGAAATCTAGTCGGGCGAATTCTGAGCTAAATAGGCGCCTGGTGCATCATAAACCGATTTTATGACGATTTGTGAAGACAAAGTATGGCACAGATACAATAAACATGAGCTTTTACTATACACAAGATTCACTTTTGAGGTGCCGCTCTTTATAGTGTACCCCAACCATCCGTCACATATGCCACAAAACTGTTCTTACTATTTTTATGGCCAAAAAGTGCATCCTTACATCTTGTAGTTAATGTTTATATTATGTGTGTGGACTATCAAATTTGGTATTTCTGTATTCATTTTATCCGTTCGAAAATTTCTGTTTTCGAGATTTGAAGTATTTAATAATACAGAAGTTCAATGAAGCAACTTTAAGAGCTAATGGAAAATATGAAATTGACGTAATAAATTTAAAACCTAATCTATAACTCAATGTATGTATTAATCAGTTGCTTTTCGAACTTCCATATCTTTAATAAAAATGGACCGGATGTACTAAAGTACACACCTGGTATACTGCTTATCAGCTTTCTGAAACTTGACTTTGCTGTAGACTTTAAACAAGTGTGAACTTATAATTATGGTTATTGTAAATCTTGTTTTCTAATTTTGAAAAAGATTTGACGCTACTTTTAGATCTATACCTACTATAATTTATGTTATTTCTCTTAAGAATACTTAAGTTTTTATTGCTGGTCTCTGTCAAACGCTCTTTGGAAGTCTACGAAAAATGTATATATGAGGCGGAGCGAAGGTTCTCCGCCTCCATCCTCGACCTCGTGGTTACTGGTGTGTGCTTGTACCACACTCCACATGAAGTTCACCGGTAGTAGTCCTTCAACGCCCACCAACAATTCAGAATACTTTAACAGTTCGATGGTTCTTACTTGATAGGGGATTATTTTCTTACAACGAATATGAGTATTCTAATTGCGGTATACGCCCTGGATTTCATAGAGGTGCCGGCCCTTCACGCTTCGACGTGTGGTCGCGCACACACACCACGAGGTATATAAGAATACCGTCGGAGTGGCGACTTCGTCGTTGGTGCTACCCCTCGCATCTTACCTCCCGCGGAAACAATCTTACTGTCTTATAAAGACGTTGATTATTTCCATCGAGAAGGTTTCTAATGGCGAAGCGCGACTTTATCTCTGCCACCGAGTAAGGAGCGATTCTAAGTCTACCTGACTCTTTTATTCACTCCTAACGAACGGTGGTCTAGTGGAATACTGTTCAAGTTCGGCACTGTCTTTCCTATCTCAAAGATCGATGCCTACCAAGGCAGGGAATGTTCACTTCGAGCTGATAGTTTCTTTCGTGAGGTGAAAGTTGCGCCAGATGTTGGTTGTCTCTCTGAGAGACCGAATCCCGAACAAAGAAATACGTTCTAGAACAAAAACAACAGACTTAGGACTTAGAGCCCCCACGCACTAGACAGCCAACATATATTAGCAGCCATTTATAGTAGCCAATCGACGGTCAGGTGTGTCCGTTCTTTAATATGGAGCGAATATAAATATAAAGTGGTATGGACGTGGAAGAAGCCATAATTATTTACCGTTTGTCTCGTAAAAATGCAAAATAAAGAAAATCCTGGTAAATCGCCGTCGCAAATTATATTGGTAATTTTTTCCATCCTCGTTTTTCCCTTCTCGATTAGTGTATTCTTCAGAAGATATATCCCATATCGCCGTTCTTTATCCCAAAACGGCTTTCAGCTTCCCGAGTGAATTTTTCGGTGTCAAAACTAATTTTAAAAATGTTGGGAATAAGTCTGGCTGATATGACAAGTTTGCTAAGACTCATATCGGCCGTATTCCTTTCTCTTCAGAATTTTTCACTCGCTTTGGCTGCCGACAGCCGGTAGAACAGACATGTTCTAGCCAGACATTCATGGTTGTCTAGTGCGCGGGCTCAAGTAAACCGTCAGGGTTGGCTGCCTAGTGCGCGAGGGCCTTTAAAATAGGACAACCAAAAGAGCAGTTAATTAAAACGCAGAAACCGAGAAAAGCGAATACGAGAATTTTAAAGTTATTGCATTTTCGAGTTTCATTTCAAAAATAGACATAATAGAGTGGGTATTAAAACTGCACATAAATACAGCTACATTATAGGAGATGAACAGGACAATTATAGAGCATGGTGATAAATAACAGATCATCACTCCATTGTAGTTACGATAATATAGCTCAAAATAAGTGGCTTGAGAAATAAATGAGAACTTTAATGTTTAGCAGATATTAATGTCTCATCGATTTCAACAGCAGATAAAAATAACTATATATCTATAGAACTGAAGATTATCTTTTGAGTATTGTATCGGCGTTACATTGTTTGTAATATATTTACAAAAGCATAGAAAAACATGGAATAAGTAGTAGGAGGATTTCAGGAGCGTAGCGTGAGAAAATAAATAAGGGATTTAATAAAATTAGGTAAGAATTCTAACTTCGAGGGGAGTTAATATAATACTGAGTTTGGTATACCATTTAGTATTCCAGTCTAGTTTTTAAAAATGAATGACAAACGTTATGACCTCGATATAGACTTTCGACGCTTCAAGAAAGGTGCCCCTCTTTTTGTTGCGGGGGTCTAAGTAGGAGAATTAAGAGTATTGTAGCTTTCTGGAAGATATGGTAGAACCTAGGTTTTTGAATATATATTAGCTCGCAGTACTTGCACAGGTGGGTGATTTTTATAAAGTTATGATTTGTTTACTATATATAATTGCGAAGGTTGAGTTACTATTACATTTATTGTTTAAAAGTCTGGTGGAGGGAATGGGGCTTTGTTTTTGAAAGTCTGATGAGTACTTGTCCTCTACGGTGGCATGTATTTTTGACAAACTCCTTTGCTTTGTTGTTCGAGCCATTTATTGTGGAAAGAACGTATTTCTTGCTTAGGTTGAGTATCCAATTATAGATAGAGTCTATGTTTGCTAGTTAATGGATTAATTCTGACTGATAGTCACTGTTTTTATCCATGATTTTCCTCAGGATTTTTCTTTCGGTGACCATGATTTAATTGAGTTGTCTTTTATTTAGCAGAGTGTACGTTTTCGCTCTGTATTCGATAATTGGTCTCATAAATGTTTTATATGTATGCCAGAAAGTAACATGACTGGTGATCCTAAATTTGCCACACAGTGATGTTCTGTTTCTTACTCCCTTTGGGTGTTTCGTAGGCCAGCGTTCCAAATGAGTGTCTTTGAACTGTTTTTCTTTTTGTTTTTGTTTTATCCGGCAAAAAATCTACCATAGCATCTTCAAATGTTGGTGGCGATCTTGCATCCTCTACAAAAGTACCTCTAAACGTACCATTAGCCATATATTCTTATCCTAGCCAAAATCTCTTATCATTCTTGAGTGAGTGAGTTCTTCTACTTCTGCTTCAATTGTGTTGTTTTTTGGTAGATATTTTCGACTCTGTGGGGATAACGTCCTATGATTTGAACCTGTCAAATGCGTTCTTACGGTCCACATAAATATGCCGGTTTGTTGTATTCTAATGATTTCTCTTGCACTTGCCTCATTATAAATGTAGCGTCAGTGGATATTTCCGACATGAAAACTTGTTGTTCTGATAGTGTTATAATTTCATTCAGTTTATTTTTTATCACTTTGCTTGTTAATTTTAGTGTTATGTTTAATGTAAGTAATGTTTACGATAGTGTAGCAATTATTTGTTTTTAATACAGACAAATAACTTTCTTGTACATAGTTTAAAGATTTCTCCTGTTTCAACATCTATTTTATAATTACGTTAACCTCATGTCATAAAGTATTTAACAGTCACAGAAAACATCTACAGCAGTTTCTTCCTTAATTTCGCATAACCTGTGTTATTATTCATTCACTATATTTGTGTTGTAGTGGTGTTTTCCGAAATGAAAATCTTATCACCCTCTATGTGACCCTTTTGATTTCCCACCTGCTGAAATCAATCAGACTACAGGTTTTCCTCTACATAGCTCTCTATTTGTTGTTAACAATAACATAACTCTTTTCCAGATACTTTTGGAGCTCCTTTCTTACGACATTTTTCGTGATACCGCAAAATGCTGTTGTTTCTTAAAAACTTTCTTTTGGTCCTTGTTTTGCTAACGAGTCTAATAGTTTATTCTCTTGGCTTCTTCATGTTTCGTGCATCCTTATTAGGGACACAGTATTATTTCGTGCCAGTTTAGGAAGGAGATCCTTACAATGTTTACTACTTTAATTTGGTAAGTAGTAACATTGAATATACTGGAAAACATAATATAAAACTGAAAAATATTATTATAAAATATACGTGGTATATTATTATAGGAATATACGT